TTTTATAGATCTCAATTCTGTCTTTTCCTGGTGCTCAACGCTTCTACATACCAGCATTATATTATAGCAAAGAATGAATTAACTGCTTAAAAAAGGGGAAACACAATGAAAGTCTCTGATTCATTAAATGGTAAGACTCCATTTCAGACCATAAAATGATTTCCAATTGACAAAATTAACGAGTCATATCCCAATAATTGTCATGTATGCCATTTCTGTTCAGAACCCACCTTGTGTGATTGCTGAGGAAGATGAGCCAGAAGAGAGCTGCAGTGGAGGAAGACCTACGTCGCTGTTGAGTAATGAGCTGCCATCGCTGTCAGAGACTCCACTTGGTACCTGGATCAGGCTGTAGCCCCCCAGCTGCAGCGCCCCTGACGAGGAGCTGTACGTAAGCACGGAGGAGCCCCCGTTCTGAGCAGCCATGGTGTGGACCCCCTCCAGCTTCACCTCTGATCCGTTCACACAGCCCGAGTAGGAGGCGTACTGCAGGGCCGAGTCCTCCACAGAGCTGCCCAGTCCCTTCTCCTGCCCAGTCTGCATCTGCATGTCCATACCCGAGCCCCCCAGCAGCACCCCACCAGATGGCCTCAGAGGGTTGAAGGCCAGCGGCTGGATGCCCAGATTGAGCCCGTTGAAGAGGATGTTTCCAGGCGTGTGAAGGTAAGACGAGCCACCATTGTGAAACACGCCGTTGTTACTGGTGACCAGACTTCCGTTGTAGAGACTGCCACCGTTGGATCCAGCAGGCAGCTTGATGTCCCCGATCTGTTGGATGACCACCCCACTGTCCATAGGCCCTGATTGAATGGGCAGGGTCCCATGGGTGATTACCCCATCTGAGGAGTTAGAGAGGGGCCGGGGAGACAACTCATCCTGGCCTTTGCTTGACTCATCCTCTGTGCTGTGGTTTCCATCAGATTCACTGGAAACACAATTACAAATGGAGTGTCAGAAAACAAAGGAAACTAAATAAGGAATGGTGGTACACTATTGGTATAATATGACTTTATGATGACATTTTCAGAATACCTTTTTTAATTAGATTGGAAAATATACATGTTCATACAATTCATATAAATAGTTTTTCTCCGATGTGTGCATTTTGTTTTTAAGCAAAGAGTTCACATTCTTAAGCACTTAATTTAATAAGATGTAAAGGCATATTGGGATTTATTTCCATCCCACCCAGTCACATTTGTTGCTGTGTTATTGCACAGCTTTGAAGAGCAGGCTGTGTTTGTGAATGTGTAGCCCTCTCTTACCTCATGGAGAGCTGCACTGACAACAACCCACCAACGTCAACAACCGTGCAACCATTTGGCACAATAAATTCTGGCGTGACAAACTGCCAGCACTGGTGACGTGACAAAACAAATGGCATGGAGGATTTATTTCAATTTCTTTCTCAATCTAAAAATGGTGCTCTGATTGACCATCCATATTGTTGCTGTTTCCATGAAGTCTTACAGAAGGAGTTGGTAACACTTGTTAAACAGGACTGTTTAAAAAAATAAGAAGATTGATTCAAACAGCTGCACCCCTACCATCACACACACACACACACACACACACACACACACACACACACACTCACACTCACACTCACACTCACACTCACACTCTCTCTCTCTTTCATGGAAAGATAATATCTAAATATCCACAGGTTATAGATATTATAACCTATATAATATATAGGTACTACAATACAAACAACATTTTAGTATTCTATAATTTATAGAATACTAAAATGTTGTTTGTATTTTAGTAGCTACTAAAAGGGAATCTATAATAGTGTAGTTTTGTGTGTGTGTGTGTGTCGTGCGTGTGCGTGTGCACGAGAGAGGGGTCACCTCCACCAGGTGTGCGTCAGCTTTGTTCACAGAGAAAGAGAAACATGAAAGAACTACGTATCTGCCTGTTTGTGTGAAGGATTATAAAATGAAACGCAGGAGCTGAGGAAGGCTCTGAGATCTGCTTTGGTCTGAGAGGGAAAAAAGTGAAAAATGATTTATGTGCTGGGACGTGTACGCACTGTGTTTGTGTGTATTAATCTCTGACACACACAAATACTAAAAATACATATAACAATACAAACAATTATAAAGGTAACTTGTTAATTGTTTCCTCCAAGTCAGCAGCTGCGTCTCGTGTCTGTCCAGTCAGTGTGGAGGTTACTATGTTATTTAGTCGCTTATGGTTTCCATGCCCCTTAGCACCAACACACTGGAAACCGGATCTGAATGGCAACCGCTTCATATTTCAAAACACTAAAAGCGTGCTCCAAAACCTTTTACGCACATTTTGTGGTTTATTATCCATTATTATTTGTGGTAATGTCTCACATTTTCAAGTCCTTGAAATATGTGCGCGAAATTATTAAATACTCTGACTATTGTCAGTCAATGTGTGTGAAGAGTGGTGGTACACTAGGCGCCATTCCCCCCAAAAGCTTTCCTATAATTATTAAAATACTGTTGAAATTAAACTTGTATTAATGCGTACTTTACGCACACTCGGAACCCATTTTAATAATTTCCTTTCTGTAAAGTTTGTGAATGAAAAGTGTTCCTTTTGTTTCCTCACCTTTTTGACTGTGCCTCGGACGGGTTTCTGTCTCTCTGTCTCCTGTTTTTGAACCAGTTGCTGACCTGGGTCAAGGAGAGTCCTGTAATCTTGGCGAGATTTCTTTTCTCGGCGGGCGAGGGGTACCTATTCTGGGTATACAGATCCTTCAGCGCGTTCCGGGACCTCTCCTTGAAACAATACACAGTCTCCTCGCCGTCCCAGATAGTCCTGGGGAGAGGGTATTTTCTCCGGATCCTGTACTTGTCCACGGCGCCCAGGGGTCTCCCCCTCGCCTTCTCCGCCTCGGTGTACCGGGCTTTGTACCACAGATCTTGCAGAAAGGTGTGGTTGGACGGACTGAAACTGTGGTTCTCCAGAATACTGTACAGCTCCTGGTACCGAGCCTGGTGGTACGCAACGAGGGCTTGGGCTTTCAGGATGCTTTCGTTGCCGCGGAGCAGGTCACTTTGCGGCAGGGACCACAAGAACCTGGCCAGCCGGTCCACATTGCCTCCCTGCTGCAGAGCCTCGCAGACACACGCCACTTGCTCCGGGGAGAAAGCCAGAGAGGAAGCCGCGCTCACCAACAGCTCCGTGCGCACGGCGTCCGTGTTGCGCTCCATGGACAAATCCGCCGCGTCCAGCGCCACAAGCTTGATGCACTCCCGCTTCTCCAACTCCTTCACATTTTCCCTCTTGATGTCATTAGCTGTTGTGACTTCTCCAGCAGAAGAAGAAGACATTTTTTTTGTTCAAGCCTTCCCTGGTAAAGTCACTCCTCCCAGCTCGATCAGGTTACCTCCTCGCCATGCGAATGCGATCGGATATCTGACAGCAGCTGTAAGTAGATATCTCTCTCCCCTTTTCCTTCCAACGTGACTTTTACTCTGCGGGGACTGGAGCTGGAAAGAGACGCACTCGGGTCTATCTGCAGGAGAGCCACGCTATTGGCCGTCGAGGGCCTCATAGGGGAGGAGCGAGCGGGATTCAGGCACGAATGTTAGGTTTCCAGCTGTCAGTCATATAATGCAGCGTATTCCCGTGGCTCACCTGTGCAAGGTGAGTGCTATTGGGATCGTGGGAACGGGATATCCTTGTTGTCTCTTTTGTCAGGAGCTGACTTGGCTGAATGCGGACACATCAACACATGTGTATTCTCATATATCGAGGAAAATCAAAGGGAAAGAAATCCCGGGACTATTGTTAGTCATTGTATCACACTAAAATGATTTTGACAATTTAAAATTACTCACAATAACATAAAACAGACTTTGACACTGGGGCTGGATTTGTTGGATATCAATAGTTGAAGGTGCTGATTGTAAATGAGATAAAGTGTAAATACTGCCAGTTTGTCTGTCAGAAGCCCCTCAAACATCATCATAATGATTTTAATAGAAAAGTCCGGTGATATTACATGAACATAATATAAGTGATAAACCAACATCTCTGCAATAATGCAAATTAAGAGCATTTTCTGAATTACCCATTGTGTTGTTTACCCCAAAATACAGTACAAGTTTGAATCACAGTTATTTGAACACCAAAGAAAACCTCACTAATTTCCATGAATGTTATTTGAAATAACAGGATTTTAATTTCTCCTTTTTTTTTATAATTAGAGGTGTGTTTTTTTTAAATCTCACTTTCAGTTTACTGCAATAGTAAGACTTTTATCACTTGGCTAATGCCTGAATCACGATTCTGCTATCTTTTATGTCGATAGAGACTCAACAGAAATGTATTCAAAATGATTACCTTAATTGGAAAACTGGAATATTGGTAATTTATGTATTCTACAAATTATAAACTCCAGTCATGGCACTGGAGCCTAATTTGGTGATCAATAACTGACATTTAGGCAATAAATCAATATAGCACATGGCTTTTAATGATTGTAATATAATATAAGTGTTCAGAGCTATAACCTTTGAAAAAAACGGCTGTTAGTGATACTCTTTTATCACTATAATTTGAATTTGCAGTCTCCATCATGCATTGTTTATTTAAGATAATAAATCATGGTATAGTTATCCACCATTCTTGTTGACTTATTTCCCCAAACCGTTACACATACACCCAGAAACGACATGATGTCAGAAGCCCTGGGGAGCAACATCTGGAGAGATTTTTGGTTTTAATTATGTGTCAGTCCAGGCTTACATTAGATCATGGAATATATGGGAGTGTAAGCTATAGGAAACTGCACAGAGAAGGCGGTGAGACCTTTAATCAAAACATCCACTTTTTTTACACTCTCTCTAAATACAAGTGAAAATAAACCACTCAGCTTTTTACCTCAGAACCCCTGGGAGTCCTTAGGGACCCCTGGGTGGGCCGGCACCACAGTGTGACCACTGCTGCTGTAGAGGTTATCATTAAAGAGGAACTTCTCTTCTTAATGGCGTTTCTTGTCGGACCGCATTCTGTGTAACACAGCGGTTCGCCGCCGAGAAACTGACAGGAGATATTCTAATTGTAGACACTTTTTGCTCAATCTTTTTATCTAAATTTGTGTTGAAGTAACAGAAATGGACGACCAGGGGTGTCCGAGATGCAAAACAACCAAGTACAGGAACCCGTCGCTGAAGCTGATGGTGAATGTCTGCGGCCACACGCTGTGAGTATTTACATCTGACAGCTAGAGGAAGGCACAGAGTGAAGCTAAAACCCCCAGTGTTTGCCTCAAACTGTGCGAAAACACATGCACTAACACAAGAAAGTCCTAAAGCAAGCGGTAAAGTCTTATTTATTCAAACTATTCAAGCTTTGTAACCTCTCTTAAATCTTAATGGTTGGCCGTTAACTTGCAAAAATATTTTGAGCTAACAGCTAACGCTTTGTTTTGCTCTTTTATAATTGGACTGATTAAGATGGGGGGGGGGGGGGGAAGAAGTGTTGAAGAAGTACTCAGATCCTTTACCTAAGTAAAAGTACAATCATTATTGTCTTAAAATACTCTATTACAAGTAAAAGCCCTGATTTCAAAATGTTACTTAAGTAAAAGTACAAAAGTATTAGCATCAAAATATATTTAGAATACAGAAAGTAAAAGTACTCATTCTGCACAATGACCCATTTCAGAATATTGTAAAGAAGTATTATCAGCCAAATGTATGTTAAGTATCAAAAGCAAAAGTACACGTTATGCAGAATGGATCTTTTCAAAGTATTATATTATTATTTCATCCTGTTTTTAAACAGGCAAAAGCATTGTTGTATTGTAGTTGGTCAATGTGGTCACCATAGTTACTTAAAAAACTGTGTAGATTAGTAGTACATCACTGCATTATATCCTCTTTTATAATTGGACTGATTAAGGTGGGACGAAGGAGTGTTGAAGAAGTACTCAGATACTTAACTTCAGTAAGAGTACAATTATTATTGTCTTAAAATACTCCATTACAAGTAAAAGTCCTAATTTCAAAATGTTACTTAAAAGTACAAAAGTTTTAGTATCAACATATAGAGTACATAAAGTAAAAGTACTCATTCTGCACATTGACCCATTTCAGAAGATTCTAAAATAAGTATTATCAGCTAAAGTATTTTAAGTATCAAAAGCAAAAGTACACGTTATGCAGAATGGATCTTTTCAAAGTATTATATTATTATGGTTTTTATTTCAACCTATTTTTAAACAGGCAAACACATTTTAGTATTGTAGTTGTTCAATGTGGACCAAATTCAGTTACTTGAAATACTGTGTAGATTAGTACAGTACTGCATTATGCCAGATCAGCATATCATGTATATATGTGTACAGAGTAACTGTAAGCATCAAATAAATGTAGTGGAGTAGAAGTATAAAGTACAAATACCAGCTTTAAAAGGCAAGATGACACGGTGTAGATGTTGGATTATGACCTCTTCCATACTCGATAGTGCTGCATGACAACTGTCAATCTAGTCAGTCATCAGTAGGCTAATACACCTATCACACTGTATTGGTACATGTTTACACCTGTCCTGCACTGCTTATTCCAACCCCTCAGAGGTCTTCAACAAGATACTGGTGATTGAATCATACATGTTGAGTTTCACTTGAAAGAGATGTCAGTCCTTTGAAATATCCCCTTTACACAGAGCTCAAGATGGCAGAGAGAAGAGTAACTGAGGATGAGTTTTAATCCACATACGGAGCACACAATTATACAGAGGTCTATCTTAAAGGGACAAACAAAATCTCATTATCTGCACTAGTACTGAACCGCACAATCATATTGTGACTCATTTTAGTTTTGTGCTGAACTGATTACTCATCTTAGATGTTTAGGCTGGTTCTAATTAGGGATGGGAACGATTAATCGAATATTCGAAATTATTCAGGTATTCGAATATGAGAATATCAGTTATGAATATCTGTTTTTTTTGGCAGGGGTGCCTAAGTTGATTACATATTATCAAATGGAATAATTCAATGTATACGACAGTGCCATAGCTAAGTGTGTTAGGTCTAAAGATGTGTTTTGCTCCGCTCACCGGTCCCTCACAGCGGGCAGAGCTGCAGGTGCTGATCTCTCTCTCTCTCGCGTCCGGTAATACTTCACTCACGTTTATGTCCAAATCCATCAGATCTAGCTAGTTCTAGCTAATGATATGGCTGCTGCCCCTCCCTACACGCAGATCACGCAGACTCAAACCTCATCTTATGCCCAAATTCCAGCTGAGAGGGTCTTCTCTACAGCTGGCCTGATTGTGAATCGCCTCCGCACCCGCCTCTCCCCTGAGCATGTAGTCATGCTCATATTCTTAAACAAGAATGAGTATTGAATAGCTGCATTATGTGCATAGGCCCTGTTATAGGTTGTTGATCTCTGTTGTAATAGAGTTACGTTACCCTAACCCGTTATGTTGTTCGTGTATGATCCCTCTTTCATTTAAAAACCAAGTTATGTTTTAAGCATGAAAGCTGTAGGCCTATGGCTGTCAACTGTTCAAACTGTGGTCACCAGTTCAATCAATTTGACAAATTCGACTTGGTTTCTATACTTATTTGAACATGTATTTATTTATTTTTCAAAATGAAATATATATATATATATATATATATATTTTTTTTTTGTAAATATTTTTCCCACATTTTTTTTTTTTTTATAGGATATGTACATTTCGGTTAATCGGTTAACCGTTTTTTGGGGGTAGAATATTCGAATATACATTTGCTTTCAAATTCCCATCCCTAGTTCTAATGGATCCTATCATCGTCACAAGCAGAGACACAAGTCAGTCCAAGAGCATACTCTGATGCCCAAGCCATTCAAATGCAACGTAAACATAATCGTTTCAACCTCCATACATAAACTAAAACATAACCAAAAAAAAGAAAAAAAAATGCCCATCAAAAGTTTCCAGAGGCCAACATTTTAAACTTGTATTGATTTTCTTCTTCTTTTTTTATCTGGTCCAGCACTAGTCACCCTCCTGTCAGTACTCTGTCAACTTGTCTGCTGTGCATTTTCCAATATTTAAGCTTGTCAACTGTTTCTAAACCTGGTCATTAAAACGAAGGGGGCATGTTCTCTATGAGCCCCATGCAGTGACGCTGGTTTCCTGATGAGAGCATCTTTTTGACCCTGTCTGTTTATTGACCGTACCATCAGGAAGTGGTCGTGCTTTGTCATCAGGTCAGCGAGCTCATAACTCAGCCCTCTGTCTAGATGCGGGGCTATACACAGACAATTAAAATGATTCTGCAATGAAGCAATTTGGAGAGATGTCCTCCTAGCCCGGGTCACCTTGGATTTGTTCCTCAGAGCTGGTGCAACGGTGAATTAATGCACTGCTTGGAAACTGCTGTTCTCTCAAACTGTATCAATATTTTCATCACTGATGTCATTTGGCGGGCTTCCTGAGAGGTTGATACAATGGGAACCTGTACTGTAGCTTGAGCGCTGTGTTTCAATTTCACAGTTACTGATTTCCAATTGTTGGTGTCATCAACAATTCTATCAGAAAAAAGTAAATAAGAAAGAAAGGGAAGCCTGACGAATCTGAGATTATGAAGGCAAATATATAGATGCACATCCATCCCAGTACCAACTGCAGGGCTTGGTTTCTGACTAACTGTAGTGTGAGTTTCTATTTCCAATGTAATACTATTTCATATTTACAGTTGTTTATTAGGCAGACAGATCTCATACATGATGTCCCTATAGATTCTTCTCACTACATATTATTACCATCTCTTGAGTACATTTAAAGACACACATCTTTAATGGTTTACGACAGGGGTGTCAAACTCAATTTCATCCCGGGCCACATCAGCATTATGGTTGCACTCACAGGGCCGGTTGTGACTTTAAGACTATATAAATATATAATATATATAAAATAATGTATTATAATACATAATTTCCTGTGCATTGGATTATTATCGGATAGGGTAATAACTTCATAATTAACTACGTCTGAAAGCAGAAGTCTAGGGAAAATAAGTCTCTTCAGTGCGCATGTCACAAAACAAGATGCATTATGGGACATGTAGTTTATGGGCAACGTGCCTCTGTAAAGTGGCATGTAACCGTATAATAAACGTATTATATTCTTTGCATGCTCTTGCGGGCCACATTAAATGAAGTTGCGGGCCGGATTTGGCCCCCGGGCCTTGAGTTTGACACCCCTGGTTTAGGATGTGAATGCCAGTCATCCTTTCTATTTACTTTGAGGTTGTTGGTTAATGTCGAACTTTGTGCTGAAGCGACACCATTTTTTACAATGTAATCAAAAATGCCCACATCGGATCCGTCCTAAATGTTTTTGTATTATAATCATAACATTTGTATTCCTTTACGTTTCTGGCTGGCTTTGACAGAACAATACATTTGTCACCTTGGGCTCTGGTAAACTGAGATGGGAATTATTCTCTGTATCTTCTAAAATAATAAACTAACCCTTAATTTGATTTATTAATAATGCCATTAATTAGAAATCGATAGAATAATGAAAGCTGAATGTAATCGTTAGCTCCCCAAGTCTCTTCTATGTATTCAATAACTGTAAGGCTCACTCTACCTTGGCTTGGTTGAGCGGCTGTTGCGATGCAGTGTTGAGCTTCTCCACCTTTAGCATGCATCTATATTTAAACTCCACCACAGCACATTTTGTATCCCTGTCACTGGGGGCATTTGATGCGTGTTATTTATTACTTTTGCACAATGACACCATATCCATGTCCTTTGGCATTTGACACTGAGCTCGGGCACAGGCGATAGTAGCTTGGTCATCCAGTGGGGGTTTAGAGGGGTCCACCATCTGCAGAGAGGATCGACACACCTCATTAAGTAGAAGCTGGTTCCTGTAGCCTGGTACATGTTTATTGTAAAATGATACAAAGTTATACGGGTTTTTCAGGCATCTTATATTTCTCCATAGTTACTTTTAAGACACAGAAGGGCATAGGATACTCATGGCTGAGTAAACAGCTGTGTACTTGAAACATTTATAAAAATAAATAACAAATTGGGAAATAACCTTCGATTGGTTTTTCAATGCTGAGATCTAAATGAGAAGGAGGATACCACCTTAGCTAAAGCCAGGCTAGTTTAGCTTAGAGACTTGAAGAAGGCGTATACGGCGAGCCTGGCTTTGTCTAAAGGTCTAACCTTCTGCCTATCAGCACCTCTAACTCTCTGTAACTCCCTACTTGTTTTTTCAATTTGGTTTGCTACACAAATAAAAAAGGTATACAATATATAAATTAATGAACTTTAGGGCTGCTATGAGGCATACTTCTTTACCCATTTGACAGAACAGGCTAGCTGTTTCCAGGTTTCTTTGCTAAACTGGCTGTAGCTTTATATCTTAAAGTCAGACACCAGAAAGTGGTATTGATCTTCTCTTCTTAGTCTGGGAAAAAAAATGCTTATGTACAGCTTTTTATTTAAGAGAGAAGTCAAGTACAAGTTCTTTGGGGCATTGCTGTAAAATACATCCAAATATCACGCTCTACATTGTGTTGCAATGGCTGCCTATACAAAGCTTCACATCGTCCCCACCTCAGCTTCTGGTCTACTAACTTGTGGTTCTTATTAGGCAGTTTTTTGTCCATGGTTACATTTTTCAGACCCATATTTCTTTTGAGAGAAATTGTAAATGATTATTTTATTTACGAAGCTGTTTAATTCAAATTGACTCTGGGAAAAAACGTTCTGGAACATGGGTCCCTGCCCACTGCGCTTCTCTATAAAGTACACCAAATCTAAGCTTTATTTGTACAAGATCACACAGGCCTTTGCTAGCTTCCTGTGTAAGCAATCAGACTCCTGGGCCTCAGCATTTTCTGACTGTGCTGCTGCAGGTACTGTAGGTCACAGGGCAGGACGGAGCGTCAGAGCAGGTTTGAATTTGACACAAAGCCAGCTCTGTCCAGCCGTTTCTCTGCGAAGATCATAAGGCTTCGTGGTGAATCCAGATCCATTTTGTACATAGTCCTGCATTGTTTTTGCTCTGTCTTGCATAAGAAGGAGGCAGAGATGCAGGCAGCGTCACCAAGGGGCAGTGGGGGTGGTGGTGGTGGTGGTGGTTGAGAGGTCTATTTGCTGAGCCAGGGCCCTGTTCACCCTCCTCTAACTACCCCCCTTCTTTGACCTGCTGACAGCTGCAGATGGGAAAGATATAGGAGCCTGGAGCTGTGAGCAGGACAGGTGAGAGAGGGAGGAGTCAGGAGCACTCAGTCAGCGACAACAGCCCTGGGACACAGAAAAGGCAAGCTGCTGAAGATCTGTCGGCTCACTTAAACGCCTGTTCAGTTTGCCCAGCGAGCAGCGTAGCCTTGGCAATAAATGTTCTTTTTAAAATACAAATTGCAACAGGCAAAAAATCCAAAAGCTGTCACTAAGAGAAGGCACATTTCAGAAGAAAGATGGCAAATTGACTCTTAAATCTCCACCCTCCCTCTTAGCTGTTCACCTCTTTGCTCTATAGTTACACAGGATTTCCCCTTTGGAGAGCTCTGTTGTGTGGTCCATTTATGGGGCAGGGGGCAAGCTACGCCCCACTCCTCGCCCCGTGTTGATGAATGGGTTCTTTGTGGGCCTGTGGAAACAAGCTGAATCCCTCCATCTACCTCCATATGGCCAGGCCTATAGATCTCCTGTAGCCCGGGGCCTCAGCGAACATCTGCCTCTTCCAGGGTGCACTTGAGCTCCTCATGCTCCGAAACACCAACTGGACAACGCAGATGTTTCTGTCTGTCGCCCAGCTTTAATTTTTATTTTTTTTGAGGCTTCATCTGGAGCCAAGCTACACTGGCAATGCTTGTAAGAAAGTCCCCTGCGATGCACGTTTTATCCGTTTGTTGCTTGGCTGTGAAAGCATGGTGTCACACTTGGCAGGTTGGGCTTGTTTGACCCATATCTGAGACGCTCGATGTAAACAACCAAACTCCATGGCTCTGCAGTTTCTCTTCAACTGCTTTTGATTTGTGTGTAATCCTGCTGATGGAGTGAAATGCCTTGTTCTTATAGGCTTCATCCCCAGAGAGTTTTTCACAAGGCACCAGTTTCTCCTTGACTTTGGAAAGAAATGACTCGACCATACCATCAATGACGTATGGTGAGAAATCTGACTTTTCCCCATCAACTTTTATATACTTTAATATGAAAACTATCTGTGCCTAAAAGCAGATAGTGACATTGGGAAACCAGATGTTGTCCATTTTCCTGAAGGTGGTCACTAGCAGGAAGGTACATTCCTGGGGTTATAGAGCTCCGCAGAGACTTAATTAAGAGAGCGCACTGTGCAAACGTTTATCCAGGCCCTCCACCCATCAGAGGAGATTTAGGAACATTCCCATTGTCTTCAGTGTCCACTCCTCACTTGAGTGTGACTGATAGGTAAACGCCTACCTGCATAAAGGTGTGATTGATGGCTAAGCTCAGTTGTGCCCTTAGCTAGCTCTGACAGCTGCCGTGGAGCGCATGAAGTAAACCTTCCTGTTTGAACCTGGGCTTCACTTCTCACCTGAAAAGTGTTACTGTTTTTTAGTTCAGAATTGGTCACAGGTGAAGAGACGTGCTCTTTACTGAATAGATTTCAATGAGGAAACAAAGCCTGCCTGAGAAACTCATCATGACCGCGCTGTGCAGCTACATAGTTTGTCTTGAAAAGTAATTGTATCCATTAAAACGATTTCCAGTATATGCTGTAATCAATAACTGTCTATATTTCCACAGTATTTCATAATGTGGCTTAAAGCTTGCCATTATACAGCTTCCTTTCATTTAGGCATTGTCAGGATTAATAATGACATTTTCTGGCAGAAAGGTTGGAATTGCATGAGAAAATACTGATCTTCCATTTAGATATTAAAGTAACATTTTTAAATAAATGAAAGCCTTAAGCATATATGACAATTAAAACACTATACGTTACCAAAGAAGTAAGGAATACACAAAACACTGCAATTGTCCAGCTGGACTTTTCTGCCCAAAATTATGTATTCCATTCTTATAATGATAGACTACACTGAGAGCTGGATTTGATCATATTATGCAACGTGGCATGACTGAGGTCTGTTGAAATAACAATAAAGCAAATGTTTTTCCAGTGCAGACAGACACGCCACTGATGGGGTGTCAGACTAATTTCCTCTTGTCTGAGAGTAGGAGGCAGCCTAATCGACATTCCAATAATAATCCCGGCCATCTTTGAGCACTCAGAGGAAATATTCATATGCCCCATTATCACCCTACCGCCTGATCATTTACAGACATGAAAAAAAACAACACAATTTAGCTTTGCTGTGAGGAAAATTGTACTTCAGCAGCCACACACGCTTACAACTGTAACTCTGGGAGAGTCACCTCTGGAAACGTTCAACCCAGGCTGGTTTTATTTTCTGTTTTGCTGTCCCCTCTTCCCCCCCTCTCAGATGCGAGAACTGCGTGGAGATGCTGTTTGTCCGCGGCTCGGGTAACTGCGTCCAGTGCGACACGCCCCTGAGGAAGAGCAACTTCCGCGTGCAGCTCTTCGAAGACCCGGCTGTAGATAAAGAGGTGGAGATTCGCAAGAAGGTGCTGAAGATGTGAGTGGGGGGGAACCAGGAGGGTGCGGCCCTGCGTGTTTATGTGTCATCTCGTGCCTCCACCCACTTCTTAAGCCACCTTTGTCTTTCTCATTACACTGTTTGTTTTGTAGACAATGAGTCTCCCCTGGGGGACTCCAACGGGAAGGCTCTTTCCCTGCCAGGTTTTTACTTCTCAGCCCCTCCCCGCCTCCCTCTCTCCCTCATCTGCTCTTTAATAGCCCCTTAATTGACATCTAATGTGTGTCTATTAGGCAGTATGCAGACATGGTATTTTACAATGGTTGATTTAATGGAGGCTATTAATGTCGGAGCATATTTGCTTTCATCAGGTTTTACTATTTGTCTCATCAGTTCTGTTCTTTGTCTGCAGATACAACAAGAGAGATTTTGACTTCCCCGGCTTGAGAGAATATAATGACTTCCTGGAGCAAGTGGAAGACATAGGTAGGACTCTCTCCTGCTGAAACAGAGATTTAAGGGGATGCTCAATAGTAAAACGCCAACACGTCTTGACTGTTAACCTAACATGGGCTATGCATCTGGGAAACAGGGGTCATTTTTTCCGTATGTTACAGAAGCAGTGACACACCGACAAGCACTTCTATATATATTCAAATGTTTTTATTGGGTTTTACACATTTTACAGTATGCCAACATCTGCATCACACCCACCACTGTCCAACAAACCAAGAGTGAAAACAACTTTTTAAATAATACTAGTTAAAAATATAATAAATAATACAAATAAAGTAAGAAAAAAACCCTCATGCTAAATTAATAACATTAACTCAAATGAATCTACGGTGACTGTAGGATGTCAATCAATCAATCAACAACTTTATTAATCCCGCAAGGGGCAATTGGTTATGAGCAGCAGCTTATGTCATGTACACAGGCAGGAACATACAGGAAGAAAACACACAGATACACCAGGGAGCACAGATGTGGATCATTCCAATTTACACTATAAATAGTTCATAGCATCACAATAATAAATAAATAAATAATCAAGTTAAAAGCCTATCAAGAATTTTAAAGTTTGAGTGCAGAAGGATGTTATCACTTACAGGCGTTTAGTCATAGCTCTTGTAGTGGAGACATTATTATATATTTCCAGTAAGGGTTGACTTTTTGGCTACCTAAAATACCGTAAGATCTTATCAACAAGCACTTCTGATAGGTTACACCTTCCCCTTAGTTTTCTGTTTTTTGTTACCTCGGTGCAGTGTTTAACCTGACAAACAACATAGATGTGGAGAACACTAAGCTGCGGATGGACCAGTACCAGAAGGAGAACAGAGACCTCATCCAGAGGAATAAAGTTAAACTGGTAAGTATTTTAACTCACAGTATTTTTTCCTTGCTCCCCACCTCGGAGAAGTCAGATTGTCGGGTCAAGTTCAAATTGGCATGGTGAGAATTCAGCCTTTTGGTAAAAAGATTTGTTTTTGCATCATCCCTGTTGTCCTCAGTCGCGAGAGCACGAGGATCTGGAGGAGCTGCTGTTACAGGAGCAGCAGGGCAACGAGCAGCGGCGCCTGGACCTGCTGCAGGAGGAGCAGAGGCAGCTGCAGGCCAAGAGGAAGAACAAGCAGGCTCTGCTGGATGAACTGGTAAGAAACACACACGATGCACATTCATGCAGCCGCTGCAGTCAGGTGGAGCAAAAAGCAGTCGCATCATGACAGATGTTTCATATCTGACTCTCACACATAAGTACACACACACCTCAGCCCCAGGGTTCATGACAGTGAGATCATTAAGAGATTATTACTAGTCATTGTGCCGCGGGCTGCATTGTTCTCATTCTGTGATTCCAAAGCCTCCTGGCTCCATTGTGTTGAGCGGCCAGCTTTGGAAGTGATTGTTCCTGCAGAGCGGCTGCTGAAGGACCATCGCAGATAGCAGGCTAAGCTGTGTGTTTGTTTGTTTAAGGCACGGGGCCTGTTGACTGTAGGCAGATGAGATCAGCTCCAACCCCCCCCCCCCCCCCCCCCCCCCCCCAGGGGGAACCATCCTGAGCTTTGACATCTGTACGTCCCTGTGGTCTGAGAGCTCACTGTTCTCCCACATACACTAACATTGAGATTCTTCCTTACTGTTTGGGAAGCTGTGGTTAACTTATCAATATTACACATCTCTGTGAGCTTCTTACTCATCCTTGAATCTTCTTTTCTAATGTAAATAAGGCTGTGCCAATCTGATCTTCACTACACCATTATCACGGCCAAAGTATTCATGATCACGCTGTTATCACAATATCTAAAAGAAAATGGTTCTAACTAAATCTATATTGTTATCACTCAAATTAATCTTCACATTAGTTTGTGTGTTTCTCTCTTTAGACAAAATTATACCACTTATTTATGTGGTTTTTTTATCATTATATGTGTATTATTAATGATAACAATATTTAAATCCTTTTTTAAAGTCACAGTTATTGTCAATACCCATATGTAGCAACACCTTGACCTTGATTTGACATCATTTGACTTCAGGCTTATTATTTCCTGGAATGCATTATATTTTTTTTCTTAAAATGATTGCGAAATAGGCAACTTCTTAACCATGGGATGTCATCGTAATAAAACATTTTATAAAAAATAATTATAACTCATGTAAGTGACTGTGTTTAAATGTTTGCAGTCAGACCAGGACCTATAAGTGTTTGAAGACACTTGGTTTACCGTTTAATGCTAAGACACCTCCAGACTGTCCTACCGTTGCTGTCCACCCCATCAAACTATGTCCTACGTCTTCAGTGAACAAAGTGTTCAGGCTTGTGTTCTTAGACCTCTGTGCTTGGCAACACTCCACCGGAGAAATTGAAATGTCCGACCTTGCATTTAATGGAGGTGAAGGCGGCGCAGTGCACTTGAAGCAGCGTCCCCTGCACTGTCACAGTTTGGTTGATATGGCTTGCATCAATATTGTGGCCTGAAAGGACCCTATGCTGCTGATAGGGGAGGGGGGGGGGGGGGCGGCTGCTGTTTATTTATCTCTTCTCAACATGCAACAGTTACAAAGGGAGCTGTCCTCACATTTATAAGTGTCGGCTGCATGAGCAGTTCCTCATTAAGCACTTTGCTAAACATCCTCATAAATCTTTAATCCCATTTCTTTCTGCAGGAGAAGTCTCAACTTCCTGCCACCATCTTGCTCGCTCAACACAAAGTCCGTGCTGCCAAGCTGGAGACGCAGATCGAGCAGCAGAAACTGGCCGTCAAACCTACAAACTTATTTTCAACTGGAATTCATATGGTGAGTGTGACACTATAGACTCATTATCTCTTTAACCCCATTGCAACTCAAAGTGACAGACGCTTGCCTGCACTCAAAACGTGTGTGTGTGTGTGTGTGTGTGTGTGTGTGTGTGTGTGTGTGTGTGTGTGTGTGTGTGTGTGTGTGTGTGTGTGTGTGTGTGTGTGTGTGTGTGTGTGTGTGTGTGTGTGTGTGTGTGTGTGTGTGTGTGTGTGTGTGTGTGTGTGTGTGTGTGTGTGTGTGTGTGTGTGTGTGTGTGTGTGTGTGTGTGTTGTGTGTGTAGTGTGTGTGTAGTGGTGTGTGTGTGTGTGTGTGTGTGTGTGTGTGTGTGGTGTGTGGTGTGTGTGTGTGTGTGTGTGTGTGTGTGTGTATTGTGTTTGTGTGTAGTGTGTGTGTGTGTAGTGTGTGTGTGTGGTGTGTGTGTGTGTGTGTGTGTGTGTGTTGTGTGTGTGTGTGTGTGTGTGTTGTGTGTGGGTGTGTGTGTTGTGTGTACTTCGAAGTTATCTGGACATAAATCTTTTTTTCACTTTGTAAATAAAGAGGTTAACAGTCGAAATACAGATTTAACTTTACAAAGAAATATTTTGTAACACCTTGTCATGAACACCGGGTCTATGGATCCCAAAAAAATTCTTGCCATGATTATTTATAAATGTTCACTGTCCTTTCTCTGGAATAATCTAAACCAAATCTCTCAAGAATGTGCAGGTTTGATTGTTTTTTGTAGAATCTCTCTGCACTGGGACCCCATCAGCAGAGAGTGGCCTCATTTAAATGAATGAGGGGGCTACATTTTTTCACGCAGGGGTAATGTCGGTCTGAACACGACCTTGCATGCATTTGCCAGAGTGGGCTTTGCTGCTTCAGGTGAAAGCAGGGTGAGCACGGTGAAACATGAGAGCTTGGAGAATCTATATGTAGCATAAATAACAAATGGCCACTATATTTACAATGCGCCCATGCAGGTTAAGGTCACATGGTTGTATACCTCGCTCTGTCTGTGGGTCTGCACAGTTAAATGCTCAGTGTGACTTTTAGTTCAGTGCTAATTTAAACTTCACGTGGACTGCTTGTTGACAATACAGCGGTGATAAGAGCTCAGACCTTCAAAGGGAGGATGTTCCTTGGTGTCTGGGGCTTCTTCCTATTGAACGGGGCCCTTCAGTCCTGTCATCACATTCCTGTGGGCGATCAGCGGGACACACACAGAGAGAGAGAGAGCATAGGGGCTCACAGCTCTGTGCTCACCGTGTCAGGAGAGACATTATATTTGGCCCTCGTTCAAGTTTTCAGTCGTTTATTTTCATTTTACTGTGATGAGATAGGCTGTGTCATCAACCCCACCTCTTCCCAAACAACCCTCATGAGGCATGGTTGTCTTCCCACAGTTCACTGATGCGTGGGAGAAATATCTGCTTAGTACTCACCTTAGGCTCAAACTGGAGCACGGTTTTTGGTTTACTCTGATATAACCCAAATATCTTTTTCCCCCCTTCTTTGTTTGCCTATCCTGCCTATTTCAATGTGTTTTCCACTGGTTTGGCTCGGTCGAAGGTCTTGGTTAAATAATATGATGCAGTAATACAGTCAGACTTTACAAAAACATTAATTTAATCATTACACCCCAAAGGAGCAGCTGGCTCATCCAGCACAAGTGGAAAAGCATTGAATGGGTCCAAAAGGAGGATTTGGTACTCTGACTCTCACCCCTGATATACAGCATGAAGTTAAACTTGCTGATGGAGAGCGAAACAGCACGATTGTGTTGCTCTTGGCTTCCTCTGCGGCTGTTTTTCCTCGCTTCTTTCTTCCCATTTCTCTTCATCCTCCCGTCCCAGAGCTCCTGTTGGTGTAGCAGAGCTCCCACCATGCATCTGCTGCGTCGGACCCAGAGACTAGAGTCGGGGGAACGTGTGGGTTTTGGATTTCCCTTCACTTCAGAGTCCATAAGAATGACTCCTGTTTGACTTGGTGGGGTTTCAGCACAGAGCGGTGGATTCCTGCAGCTCGCTGGAATTCATTTATCTGCTAACTTGTGGTCCCTAGTTCCAAGCAAGGCTTCGGTTTTTCCTCAGCAGAAATGAGGGGGGAGGGGGGGGGGTAATGTAAAAACACATTTCTAAAGCAGGGCCACATTTCCATGATGTGCCTCTTTTAACATTTCAGATGAATTGTGCTCCTCGCTTCACTTACAGGAATATCAATTAGTGCTGACATTGATCGATTCATTATTTAGACAGAAAATGCATCACATAATTGCTTTTGATAATCAGTCATTTAGTTTAGTAAAAATGCCAAAAAGTCACTGGTAAAGTTTATCAAGTGTGAGGTGTGGCCTTTTTCTCAGTTTCGCAGCCTTTGCATCAACAATAACTTTGGCAGAAGCATTATGTTTTTAGGTCAAAATAGGATACAATTATGTTGTGAGGATATACGATAGCGAGGTGGTCATTTTAGTTTGGCATATTAAAGTGATTTCTGATTGTTTTTTTAGACAAAACTGGCGATTTGACATTGCGTCATAACGGCTCTCGGAAGGTGTGATGTACAGTTTTAATGAACAAATAATAGATTCATTTTAAAATGAGAATATAGTAAGTTATATTGACAATACAAATACTCTCTACTAGAAGCTACTATCCATACTTTGTTGTGACGCACATTCTCAAAGCAGGACCGGCTGTGACAGTGATGAATGGTCAGAGGGCTGATGCATGACCTCTTGTTTTTTCATCTGGATGTTTTTGGTGATGTTCAAGTTCTCCCAGTCAGGGCAAACAGAGATTCATGGTGCCCCTAACATCCCCTCACTCGCCACCAGCTGCCCTGACAACACTTCAGCCAGCTGCCTCACCCCGGGCCAAGGTGAGCCGTCACCGGTGGAATGACATATCTGCCTCTTTGAGCCGTACGATCCCTGGAACGTGAGGATGCCAATCCTTCCTCAGCTTCCCCAGGCTTAATTTGAAGTGTGATCTAACATTTCATCTAGTTGTGTCATGTTGTTTACTGCGAACATGCAAGGGGACATCTCGGCTATTCTGGCACTACTCTCCTCCTGGGTGATATTCCAGGAGAGGGTGAAGGGGACCCTGATTCTTCAGTTTGCCTGTATGGATGGTTAAAAGCAGTTAGCCGATCCTGAGGGAAAGTAGTCTCGGTCCAGGTGTGATGTGAGGTGGGATGGGCCTGGTCTTGCCTCAGGAATGGTCTTGAATCACTCACTAATCCCTCACTTTGTAGGTACTCTATTGAACCGAGACACACACACACATACCCTTGTGCGGATGAACACACACACATAAATGCACACCCCCCTCACCCAGTCTGAGTAAACATCCTTTGAAGAATAAAGTGTCTTTTTAAAATAGACGTCCGCTGATATCAAAAGAGACTGTCTGTGTGGGAGGGAGGCAACTATCCGCTGTTTAAACAGGTTGCTTGTTGTTGTCTGACACATAAAACCAGCCTCAGTGCCAGGCACGATGACAAGAGTCCTGCTGACGTGAAGAGTCATCACATTTGGCACCTTTTTAAAGGTTTGTTATTCTATAAATGTGTTTTGATTTAAGCCTCCAATGAGTAATTGTGTTTTATTTAGTATTTAAGCATGCTGGCTTTGTTTGTGCCAGTAATTGTACTGTGTTTCCTAGTTAAGTGAGGTCGGGGATGTTCTCAGCTGCTACACTGTCCCATTCCTGAAAGCGGTGACCGATGGGGAATCTCTCCACCTTGGGGCAGCTTTCAGCGCCATCTTAGATGAAAGGTCCCAGGTTCCTGCACTGCATGGCCCCAATCCACTCCTCACAAGCGGCTGAGCAGCTGACATACCTGGCGAGGCCGGCATGGGCACCTAATGAAAGCATAAAACGCACACACATAAACAAAGAGCAGCTTGCGCACACAGTCAGCCAAATGTGGGTGGAAAGTTTATCCCTAAACATAGATGTGTGGCCAACTGAAATAACCCCGGGTTCTCTCTGGCTTTAATCCATTCTACACTTAGGCCGGTGGTATTTGACTACCATAGAAAATACAAACACAAGTACACACTCTTACACTCACGCTCATGCTGTGAGTTTGTTTGCTAAGTCCTGATTTACTTGGTTAAGTTGTCCTCTACAGTGACCTCTGTTCGGCAGACGCACTCCCTCTGCTTTAATTTTCTCTAGCAGACTTGCCTAACCTGTTTTACCTGTGAGGTTTATGCTACATAATCCCCCCCAACCCCCACTCACTCTTTTACTATCTTCAGTGTTATCTATTTTTCATTTCCTGTATTCACACTCTTATGCAAATAGTACCAGACATATTTTTGTTATTTATTTAAAATTGCTGTTGCTGTTCACAAACCAATGGTTGTAGGTGGGGAAAGGCCATAAGCCTTTAACCTTTCACTTTTTATTGGATTGCTGGTATGTAGGTTGATAGCTGCAGAGGCTTGGTGAGAGGGGGTCAGCTCGGGGGGTAAAGTGAACCCTGATTGGCACCAGCACATGTGGGCATTCACACTTCTGCCCCTAGCTTGGCCCTGTTGGGTTGGCCTCAGCAACCCTCGCCCAGGCCTAGCCCAGCCCGGCGGAAAAAGGAGTTGTCGGCTTTAGGGGCTTTGCGCTGGGGCAGCTGCCACTGGACAGGCAGTTATATTTAAACTTGTGAGGCGAGGGGAGGCCCTGTGTGGGCAGCAGCGTTTACACTTGCTACTTGCTGCTCACCGGGCCAGTGGGAAGCCCAAAGCTCTTTATCCAGACAGAAGCACGGGTAGTGCCAGGGCAGAAGATGGAAGTGAGGGCTGAGGATGGGATGGCCCCTAACTACCCTTATTAAATGTAACCCCCAATACAATGCTGACCACTGTTCTCATTATCACTTTGTATATTAGTGACGAGGGCCCTGCTGCCTCTGGAGCTCTGCTGGAGGCCCCCGAACCCTCAGGAACCACCACAGAAGTGTGTGTGGTTATGTGTGTATGTGGTCTGGAGGTGCTGATGGAGGGGTTAGTCTCTATGCGACCTTGATGTGTCCTGCTGAGCTGCAAATTCAGAGGAGAGTTGGGGGGCCTGGAGAGTGCTGATGGTCGTGCAGTGTGTGTGTGTATGTGTTTTTCCAGCACTGCTGACCCATGATTTGAGCTGTTGACCAATGAGAATTTAGACAAGATTGGCATCGTGAACATTGGATAAGACCTCCTTCATCACAGTGTCATGTTCCGTCATAAACAAAGTTAGTACACATGGTGAAAGCATTAAAGGAGAAGTTTTACTTCAGAACATTGGGAATTGTTGACGGGTAACAAAATAAACAATGTGGCTTAAAAAATACTACTTTAAAAGTGAAATCTACTTTATTTAAAAGATGTAGCAGCACCTTTGACCACAAGACTCTTGTTTTTAATGAAGACTTAGGTACATTGGATGCTATGCCCCAGGCACAGACCTGTCAAACTTGTTTAAGTAATGTGACTTTTATGAGACCCCTGTCCCGTAAAAGTCACATGCATGTCTGCCATATCACTCTGTCAGGTGTGTTAACCCTCTTGCTTTCCCAGAAGGGATTGTGAAGAAGGACAGCGGAGTTGAGAAAGAGTAATGTGACAGCACAGCACGAGTCAAATTAACCCCCCCGCCAAAGATGCATAGAGCACTAAACAGTTTTCCAAGCCAGCACACCTGTCCCCTACACGAGGACAGGCGACAATGACGGCTTCTCTTGACCTTTTAAAACGAGTCCACTCGTAGAAATTGAAGCTGGTATTGCCCCATCACTATAACTCAACCTGGAAGTTAGATGTAGGAGGATCACAACCCCCAGAAGAAGCAGGACGACGACTCCCTCTGGCACGATGGTGATTTCCTCAAATCATCCTCCCCTGCTGTTTTTATTAAGATTAATGACCTCCAGAGTTTCATTTTAGAGTCACAGGGGTACCATGAGACTCTGAAATATCAGTTATACACAAACTTGAAAGCATTTTGAGGGCACACATGATCTTGTATAGGTAGTAAGGCGGGCCTCTGAGATGTGAAAAGCAGATGTTTGTGTTGGCTCTTTCAGTGGTGTTGTTCCAGCGGCCCCTCGTCCCTTAGCCATTTCTGCTTGGCTGGGCCTGCGTGAGGGTCACCTTTCTCTCCCCCTCTGTTGCCTTCTTTCACCGGGGCATTTCCAAAACAACATTCATATGCTGCAATTCACACAAGCTTTTAATAGGACATGATGAGTTACTGATTGAACGTTTCAGCAGATGAGATGGAGACAGGCAGCTCTGTGAGACGGACAGCATGACTTGCATCGGAGCAGCTACAAAAGATGTACTACAAACTTTACATTTGCCATTTTTGGTGAATATATTCAGAGGAGCAGAGCCTGTCCATGTGTATGCATGTCTGTGTTTGTTCCTGATGAAGTGTCTCTGCCAGTTTTCAAGGTGCCCTTACCGAGGAATGCAACAGAAATCTCCCAGACTCCCTGGCTCTGTTCTGTCTGTCGCTCAAAAATCTGATTTGCTGCCCTTTAGCTATCTGCAACTCCTAATTTGCCTCTCTTTCACTACCGCTCCAACATTGTACACTTTTCTTCTCCCTCCACCCCTTCATCCCAGCGCGTCTCTTTGATTGGCGCAGCAGGGGAGTTAACCAGTGCTGAAAGTCTGAAAGAAGATGGATGGAGAGACTGAAGGAGTGTGAAAGTGAGGGAGAGTGACTGAGTTTGAGTTGGTTTGTCTGGGTTTCATTAGTCTGTGGTGGGGCTCCACTGTGTTGGATGAATGGATAGGACAGGATTGGGGATCCCTGGCACCCTGGGGTTAAAGGTTGAATGAAAAAAACAGAGCCGCCTGTGTCTAGCATTTGTGTTTTAAAGGAAAAAATGAACAATGTAAAGCTTTTAAATACTATTTTAAAAATACGGGCGATATGTATCTGTTCTTGGTCCATTATTTGGCTTTTGTGGGTAGTTCTTATTATTTTGTACACTGTAAGGGAACCATCATGGATACATGTTAAATGATCCATTGAAGCCAAGAAGCAAGAGTTTGATGTTGCTTACGTGAGTTAATTTATAATATGAAAATAAATCAGTCATGAAAAATAATGATTTATTATAGCAAATTGTGGTTTCATAAGCATAAGGTTTTGATGCCAAAAGACATGTCGTGTTTTGAGCAGATGTTCCCTCACTATTTCTTTGTTAAAGAAACCCACTCTTATACTGTAAATGTAACTGTCGCTACCCCTGCTGCTCCCCCTCCTGCATGTTTAAACCGCTGAACGCAACAGGTTGAGGCTCGTTCTGCTAAAATACTTTAAAGTCATTCTGCGAAGTGGGATTAGAGGGTATGGGTACAATCCTAAATCAGAGTGAATGTCATTTTATATTGCAGTGTTGGTATATATATCGTGATATAGTACATATTCATAAATATCAAAGTGTTAATGTCTTACATATATAGACAGGCGTGTCTTTTGTTTAGCTCATATAATAAGTGAATTACCTGACATATGGATGTACTTTGGTATGAGGATGTTAACATTGTCTAAAAATTCAATCCTGCTGTAAAATAGTCGTGGTCATTGATTTGCACCATCGCATACAAAGACTTAATACAAAAACTCGGTGCTACATAATCTTTGAAAGTATACACATTTATTTTGTATAAGAATTATGTCATGTCGCACAAAAGGTACTTAGAAGAATAGTGTAGAAAAAGAAATACCACAAAATCCTGGATTGCTTTAACACTACATATTGATCTTGTCTAACATTGTAATGATACAGTATGAGATTTCTGCCTTGTCGGTAATTGTTTGGTTCACTATCCGACTCGCTGGCCTGGTTTGAACAATTACCACGGTGTTGTGTTTGGCTCAGAAACTCTGCATCCACTGCTGTCTCACTGTTCATCCCTCAGTGCTTTTGTAACTTCCAGCTCAGCTTTGGTTGCTTTATTTCCCCCTGTGTGTGCTCGCAGGGCGGGCAGTTTGAGGCCGCTGGGCACATGTTACTCGTTTAGTTTGGTTTTCATCAGCTCCCCTCTGTGTTGTGTTGTTCTTACTCCCCCACTTCTCTTTTCTTTGCTTTTTTTCTTATCTTTTTTATCTCTCCTTTGTCTCCAAGTTCCTTTGCTCTCCTCTAAAATAGTTGGTGTTTGTTTAGATATCATCATCTTAATTCCAGGTTTGTTTCATGATCCTGGCTTGTCTTCTGAGTCTCTTTACTTTAATGCTGGAGAAAACAAAGTGGTCTGACGCGGTGCGGAAATTCCCCTTTGATGGCAGAGCCCCAAATCGAACAATTCTACACTGTCCTTAAGAAGTATCGTGTTTCTCACTCAATCACCATGGTCAAGAGCATTAGGAACTGGAGAACCCCGACTGAAATCTCAACCTTGACTACTTATGGATCGAGTTTTTTATAAAACAGGCTACATTTTCTGTGCTTGCCACTGCAGGTCTTCAGGCTTATTTTTTTGCAAACAGTTTTTAGTTGAACAATCCTGAGTATTTGCTTAACTTCAGTAACACCTGATTTACCTTGATTGTGTCAACCACATTTTTTTTTTATCTCTGAAAACACAATGCAAATAACAAACAATCTCAGCTAAACCCACAAAAATGTACTTCCTGCACAGTAAGCCTACCGTGCCAATTTTAAGTTAATATATTACCTTTCTATTCTTAAAAGTTGATTTGTCTTTTTTTGGTTTCATGTAAAAAAGCCATTTTTGATCCAAAGTACACTTTCTGTTATCAGGATTTATGTTTCCTCATCAGCCCCTTCAGTTCTCCTGCGTGATGTTTTGTTAGGAATCTGATTCTGATTTAGAAGAAACTATCAGGAATAGCTGTTGAGTTGCCAGCGGTGTGTTGACCACTAAAAACATGCTCAGGGATTGTCATAGTGAGGTCTGTCCACTAAACAACAATGCCTGGGGAAAGTTAAAATGTTGTCAGACAAAACTCCTATTGCCAAACCAGTCCGTCAAGAACTGGTTGTTGTTAATGCTGCGGTTGGATTGACATTCAGCCTTTTCCAAATAGTTTTTTCCTGTTTCCTTCATTGTGATTGTGCCATAACCGTAGTTTCCAGTTTTGCTGCACACTAAGCTAAAACAATGAAGATTATTGTTCTTTGTTGATTGTGGATTTTTTTTTTTTTTTTTTTTCAGCGACAGACGGTGTCTCTTCAGCCTGTTCCCAAGATAGAGGAAGTTCTGTACCAGTACAAGGCCCTTCATGTTGAAACCTACGGACCCCTAGTGCCTGAACTGGAGCAGCTAGGCAGACTCGGGTACTAATTGCCACACTCACACATCTGCCGCACCCATTAACTATGAGTTTTCACCTTTTTAGATGAGCAGAGTTGTCATGTTGAATGATAGAAGATAAACCAATAACAAGTCCATCATGTCCTCGTTAATTCTTTGGAAGTCTCCTTGAAAGAACTATGTCATTTTGCTGCCAAGTAGGCTTTAGAATAATAGAGACATGCGTTTGAGACTGTTCACATTCATTAGTAGGGTCGGATTTCTAAGCAGCTGTATAGTGACATTTCCTTGAAAGAATTGGTCCATTAAGTCGCAAGTAATTGTAATTCATTAAGAACCTCTCAAATTTCCTTGAAATTGATACCAAATTAAAAAGATATTTCCAGGGACCTACCTAGGAAATTAAAGTTATTTTCTAGGAAGTTACAGGACTAGTAAAATAAATAAAAAGGTTTTATCAAATAAACTTACATTTTGGAGTTTTGTATTTCTCCACATAGTGTTTGTATTATAAAGGTTTTGGTTTAGGGCTAGAGAGCTGCTGGGAAAGCCTGGCTCATCTCACTTGACTCTCCTCTGATTAACTGGGAGGGTGAGAGCAAATGAGGGGGAGGAGGGCTGGGAGAACGAGAGAGAGAGGGAGTAACAACCATCGCCCTGCCACAAGCCGCCACAGTGCCTCTGTAGGAGTGTCCATTAACACACACAGGAAGTGCTTTCCCCGACGGCCCCATTGGGCCAATCAATCCAAGACGCCATTGGTCCAGTCCTTGCCGAATGTAAGCTATCCATCAGACAGCCCCGCCATCTGCACTGCAACCGGCTGGCACTGAGGCCTGCCCACACACTGAGAGCGCTCCACTTTTATTGGGTGACAGGAGCAAAACGGGGTCATATTCTTAATTCTTTTTGGGCGAGCGCGCATTGACTCTCAGCGCTGCTTCACCCTGACAATAACCTTCATTTGGCTGAGATGTGCGGATTTGTACATAATGTCAGCATGTTTGAGATGAGGGTTTTATTCTTCTTTATTCTCCAGATAAAAGTTGCTATTGACTTTTGTTGTACAGCCACATTTACCTAATTACCTTGAAAATCACCTACTTAAGGTGAAACGTTTTCCTTAAAGGATTACGGTGGAGTTTAAGCAGAATAACTGGTACTTATTTACATTATGTATTCAGTGAAGTGCTGAGGTCCTACTTCTTTTGGCCAGGCTGATCAATATGCAGATGAAACGCATCTCACAAATCTTGCCGCATGCTAGAGCTCAGAGGGGGGGGGGGGGGGGAGAGGAGGGGGTGGGCGGTGTCAGCAGTTCAGGGGTCCAGGAGGACCGATGCTGGAGAGGAAGGGCTCTGCCACTGAGATAAATGAGGTTCAGTGAGGAGCACCAGTCCCATTGGTGCAGGCAGCGACACAGACAGGTCCGTTCAGACAAACCACAACTCCCAAGATGCAATGTGCTGTTAAGTAAAACCAAAGAATAATGCTGACACTCTCGCGCTGTAGGCAGTTTGTGATTCAGCTAAGTTTGAGGTTTTCTGCATGCAAGCGCAGACATACATATATATATGAGTGCATACCAACACTGTCCCTTAAACCTGCTGTACATTTAGTGTCATACACACTCACACTCACCCCTGTTATTGCAATCCCAGCATTTTGGTCACAGTGGAAGTTGTGTGATGTGGTAGGTATTCACGAGTGTGTGTGCAGTGGAAAGAGAATGCAAACAGCATTCAGAGGGTGAAAAGTGAGTCCCCTGTGTAGAGCGTTGCACTACCGCTCGGGCCCTATGACCTGTGAAGGGAATATGCCTGTATGTGTGAGGAGATGTGCATGTGCCTGAGCGTGGATGAGGTGAAAGGGGCCGTGAGGGGGCAGGTACTTATTTTAAAACACGCCTGTTTGTCTTGGTCAAGTCCCACAGTGACAGCAGCACCACCGGTGATTTGTCTTGCACCCAGCCATCAGGAGAGACTGGAGAGCCGAGCTCACACACCCCCTCTCTAGGGGCCCCGGGGCCTCTGGGGCCGGTCTCTTGCACAGGAAGTCCAGTCAACACAGGACTGACTGGAGCCGTGCTTTTCCAATTTAAACCCTTTCTTTTCTGCTACACAGCTCTCATTCTCGCTCTGTCTCAGTGTCTTTTTCGCCTTGTCCCTTTGCCCCCCAAAAACCGCAGGAGTACTGCAAAGGCTGCCAGGAAAAAGAAGGGCCACGCCTCTTTCACTGTCTCCCCCTCTCTGTCAGCTGTACCTGAATAAATATGGACTGAGCTGAGCTCCTATATTAAAGACAGCTGCCTCAATACTGGAGTGGAGTAAAGCCTGCATGCTCAGGCAACAGGGGCCTTTCAAAAGTGCCCATTCAGCTTCTATCTCAATGTCTACCTCCTCTTCATGCACACAAATATAACCAAATGCTCCTCCCCTGATGTGCATAGGTGCATGTGATTTGCCAGAGGATAGGACCCCTGCTCTGTGAGGTTATAGGGCTGTCGATCTCATCGAGATACCCAGAACCATGCGTGAGCGGTGAGAATTATGAGGCAGCTATGAATTCAACATCACTGCCTGTAATCCAAATGTCCTGCCATGGCTCCTTGCTTTTATGTTGAACAGTAAAAACCTCTAATAAACAAAATCAAAGTAGAAGTAAATACTGCGCTTGGGACGCAAACTAAAACATATGATGTTTACGTGGACATGGCTGTGATATGTATCCCAGCACACAGCAGCCAGGGAATGAAGCGGTAGCTGTTTTAACTCCTGTCTGCTGATGGACATTACCCGAATGGAAGCACTACATCAAAATGCACAGCACCATTGAAGTCACGCATGCATTATAATTCAAATATATCTTGTTTTTCGTACATGTGCTCAGTAAACACGACCTTAAAGTTTTATTTAGTTCCAATTTTGTTTGTGTGTGTGTGTGTGTGTGTGTGTGTAGATGAGCATCTGGGTTTGAGTTTGTTCCCTACAAGAAAAAAGCTCTAACTGCGTAGGCGATGAAAGACTTACTGGGATCTTGGACAAGGACAAATCATATGTGGGGAAAAAAATAGGGGAAAGAGAAATTGGCTTCAGAGCGTTGAAAAATTTGACTTAAACCTCAAGTGCTGACAATGAAAGCTAGCCAGAACAGTTGTTTGTGTTGGCATAGGTCGCCCTGAAATTAGCCCATCTCTTTCTGACAGAAGTTGCTCAATGCGCTTCACAAAATGCCAGTGTGTGTATAATATTATAAAGTTCTGCCTCCTCCCCCACTCCGCATTGCTTTCTATAATTGGTGGAAAAAGTGAGGTTTTTTTGTTGGGAGCGCTTGTCAAGCATCAGTCTCTTGTCGGCAGGGTGAAGGAGAGCAGCTGAATGAGCAGAGTGTTTAGTCTGGAGATGGTCTCCTGGGGATACACTTCTGTGCACGAGGAAGTAGTCCTCAGAGCACTTTCTCTCCCTAGAACAGACTTGTGACTGGCAGATGGGTTAAATAGCGATGGATAGTTTTCTATCTCCTTCATTCATAAACACAGAGGACAACCAATTGTATTCATCCCCTGGAAACTCCCCCCCCCCCCAAGTCTTCTTTAAAGTGACTCGATCTTTTTATGTACATACACATGGACACACAGAAGTACATAAATCACTTGTGCACACACAAACATGGGCTGGCTATGTTTAACGTGTACTTAAAGGTAGCCTGCTCACTGTTCTGGTTGAGAGCCAAGGGTTAATGGGTCTCTGAGTGATGCTCTCCTTCTGACTGTGTTCTCTCGCTTTCCAAGCATCCCTCGGCGTCTGCGTGTTTATGCTAATGGTGTGTGTGTCTGTTTGTTTGTTTGTTTGTGTGTTGGCTTATACTGCATGTTAAGTGCTTTGGAGGAAGGGAGATATCCAGAATAGTCGTTGGTGCTATCACAGCCTTCACTTCCTGGCAGCGGGCTTTGTTAGCCTCTCCCTGCCTGGTTGGCCTGACTCCAGGTCTGAGCTCTCCATCTTTCCAGCTCTGGCCTAGCTGTCCAAAAGCACTGCCAGTGACCCTGGATTTGGCTCATAGACTCAGCAGGACCACTAAACATGGTCCATAGAGTACTCATGAATCCATTTCTGCCATCACTAAATTGGTGTATATGAGGTTTAAATTGCATACAAATCATTCTTTCCTTCCCCCGCGTTCCCCTCTGACTCTGTGATGAAAGTGGAAGTCAACCATGATATTCTTCTTTTTCACTCAATAGAGAACAGCAACTCCAGAGGAATTTCTAGAGACGGCCTTGAGTAGTTTTTTCCATGCATCCCAGGTTCTCTGATCCCTGCGGGGCGCATATCCATCTGACGGGCCTGGAAGGGCCGGGGGTGGGGGGGGGGGGGGGGGGCAGAGGTCACTGACCACGGGGGAGCTGAGGTGCAGCACCGGGATGTCAGAGTGCCCAGACTGACGGGAGCAGAGTGATGGCACCTTGGAGAGACGGGACTCCTATTCTTGGCCTCAAGTAGTCCTCCACTCTCACACTCTGTCTCGCACAAACATAGCTTTGATGCTAAGTTATGAGCTGAAGAACGAGGCGCCGGTTAGCATGACCTCAGATGAACTCACTCAAGAGCAGCATGCTTTGATCTACTTTTACTACTATTAGATAATGTCTCAAGGCACATATTCTGCTCTGAATCAACCAATTAAAATATTCAATGAAATTGCCAAATAGGGCCTTTTTATAGGAAACGTTTTTGTTTGGCTTTTGTATAACAATAGAACATTTCCTGAAACATTTTGAGGTTTCTCCCAAAACCAAGACCTGAAGCTGAACTTGGTTTTCCAGATATTTGATATCTTCTTTTTTTCCACTGTACACTGTTCCATGTCACTGTATGTCTTAGTAGATCCAGCATTGCCAGAAGCTATAGGATTCAACGCAGTGCTTCTATGGCCATTTAAGTCCTTCCATAGCAGCTGAACATCTCTCAGATTTATTATTTGCATAACCAAAAGCGAGTGCAGGCACAATAAAAGTGTGGAG